GCAGAATATAGTGGCACTATTACTTCCCTTGATCTAGGATTTTGGGACGCCCCTAAGGATGTGGAACAACGTCAAGGCTCCCCTGCTGCTCAGCCTCCTCCTAAGGAGATGGCATGCAGAGATGGAGAAGGAAGAGTGAACGCTCACTCTGCAAGGCTCCTCTACCTCCTGGCTTTCTCCTGAGAAGGATGGATGGAGGAGGCAGACAGGTGAACACTTGCCCTGCAAGGCTCCTCCACCATCCCCCTTGTCCTGAAGAGAAGGCCAGGCGGCGGAGGAGGAAGAGGAGGAGGACAGGTGAACGCCCACCCTACAAGCCTCCTCCGCTTCTCGACTCCCTCCTGAGGGGAAGTCCGGGTGGAAGAGGAGAAGGACAAGCGAGGCTGCTCTCCTTTCTCCTTAGAGGGCTGAGCAGAGGTAGATGGAATTAATATTAATTAATTATAAATAATATTAATAATTACTATTAATTAATATGTTTATTTAATTAATATTTAATTCAAGCCTATCTGTAGCCTGAAGAAGTTTAGCCTATTTTAAATTTGGCCTCCATCTACGGCCAAGTTGTGCAGGCCTGCCTCAGAGCAAGGGAAAATCTGGAGCAAGACTTGATTCACCAATGGTCCCCATCCAACTGGACAGAGCTGGTGCAATTATGCCAACAGGAATAGGGAAGAATTACTTTTGTTTACTTAACGTTTGTGCCACAGTAAAAATATTTTGTACTTTTATCATTTTTAGTTTCTTGTATACATCAAGGGCTAATAATGCCAATTAAAATCAACATGTGAAATTCAATGTAAGGAATGAATGCTTCTGCAAGGTACTGTCTGTAGTGGATCAGTACCAGGGCTGTAGATCTTCTTTTACTTCATTTTTGCAAACAAATGCAAAGAATTGCAAAACTTTTCTTCTTGATCGATGAGACTGAAAGTATGTTGCACATTTTTCAATGATTTTTCACATTTGGAGAAAAAAATTATACACCCCCCCCCCAAAAAAAATCATTTCTGCAAGAAAATTGTACAAAAACTAGGTTATTTTCTGAAAAATCCAATATATTTTGCTCAAAATGTGCTGTTTTCTGTTTTAAAAATAGCAAAAAAAAAAAAAAAAATCCCAGAAAATACTGAAATGCAAGAAATCACATAGTGATTGATCATTTTTCTGACAAAGGGCCAAGGCCTGGCACACCCTTTCTGGTTGGGGATAAGAAGAAAGTTGTAAAGTACAGTCACATATCCACAGATTCTTTATCCACAGATTCAAGTATCCACAGCTTGAAAATATTCAAAAACTACATAAATTCTGAACAGCAAACCTTGATTTTGCCATTTTATATAAGGGACACAACTTTATTACCCACTGTATTTAATGGGACTTGAACATCCATGGATTTTGGTATCCACGGGGTACCAAACAGCCCACTGTATTCTTTTCATTCCTAATTTGAGTTCCATGATAAAATTAAAGAGGAGGAAGCTTAGCTTCCATTTAACCTAGTTTTAACCAAGAATAGCTAAGCATCTGTTCTACTTTGCCCTTTCACACAGAACATGAAAAAAGAATAGAGGAATAACTCAAATTAGGAATGAAAAGAATACTTATAATTTTCCTTATGCAGTATGTGTGCATAACTGGTGTGCTATTTGTAATGCTTTAATGTTTTTTAAAAATTTTAATTGTTTTAATTATGCTGTGTTTTAACTATTATGTTTTAAT